GCGGGGGGCAATAATCAAAGGGTGCTTATGATAAAGAGATAAAGGCAGCTCAACTTCTATGCCATGTTGAACAAAGTTTCACCCTTTTCCCATAGAGCGTACTACTAAATGACAAGAAATTAGCATTAGAACATCGTAACCAAATTAAGCCTCTAAATACCAAAATTAATCCAAAAGCATTCTATATTTATGTAAGACATTAAGATATTTTACACATTATTGCCAATGCTACAGAAGGTGTATACAAACTCAGGTTCTAAACTATCAGATTTGAGAGATAACAGTATTAATATTATATCCAATTAGCATTCTACAAAAATTCGTAAAAGAAAGCTGTTCTCCACTACTACTGATACAGACCTAATTCAAAATTTAAAAAGTAAACAGGCCCATGGAGAGGAACACATCATATCTTTCATCTTTTCTACACTGGAAATATCTGACTGCTGACCCTGCCACCAGAGCTTTTGTTTCCTAATTAACAGGACTGATATGTTTTCACCTTTAAGGCCTTACAGCTCCCCAGAGCAATCAATCTACTGCAGCTCAATTACTGCACCAAGAACACACCAGTCAGTGCAGGGCGCGTGAGCGACTGCGGCAGGCGCGCAGAGGAATGAATATGCATCAACTCTAAGTGGCTGATCGAACCATCAGAGAGGGTCACGAGAACTTGCAGCGAAATAATGAGAAGAATTAATCACTGCAGATTCACAAGGCACTTCGGAAGCCAGTGTGCTTTTCCAGTGTGTGCTGGAGCTCAAGTGAAGGAGAAACTGGCTGTCAGCCAACTATGAATTGATTCACATTCCTCAAAATGTAGGTTATCCTTATAAATAAGGGAAAACCTAACTCTATTTCCAATAACATGCCAATTACAGTGATGGCCAGGCTAACTAAATATTGAAGTCAACAGATTCATAAATTCACAGAGTTGGAATTCCTTCCAGGGGCACCCACATGTGTACATTTTACTAGAACATTAGAACTACAAGGTCCCATAAATGAGTTATAACTTCATATAAACAAACATTTATATTATAAAAGTCATTATTACATGTGCCAATGGATGTAAATAAACTGGCTTTTTGCTAATCTGTTGATGAATCACTTTAAAAACTGGCTTAAGAAAGCTATGTCTTTATTTATGCTAAAATTTCCAAGTCACTACTAATTTTATTACTTCAATAGTATACTTAATACTTTATTTAAGCACCTTCAAGAATAGCTGTACCCAATGGACGTAAGAGGTATTTTATACCAGAAAGACATGCAATTAACTCCATTATAATTAAATATAGCAAATGGTTATCTTTTCTTTTCTAATTCCCATCATCTCAGTGAAATACTCTTTGGACAATGCTACAATTTGCTTGTCATCCAACTCTCTGATTACATATTAAAGACACTGAAATAAAATATTTTCTACTTCTCTGAGCACACTACAGAGAGGACACTATATAAATGGATTGTTTTATTTACATCATGGCAAAAATTAATATTTAATATATATTAGTAAGTGATTAATGATCAATTTTAAGAAGTCCTTAAGAGTTTAAAACCAATGTGACAACTGTAGACATCAGTACACCTCTTTTCAAAGCATGTGGCTGTGGACTGAAATTGTTGAGTTCCCAAACATAATGAGCATTCACCAAATACTGTTAAGGCTTAGTAGAGATAAAATAAAACTTCTAAGAGAGCAGCCTTGGTTGTCATGGACGATAACTGCCCACTAAAGCTGAAAAGCACTTCAAAAACTCAGAAAGACAAGAGATACATATCTGTTACAATAATTGGCTAGAATTTTCTTTCATTGCTCGTTTCACTCCAGTCACTAAAAATCAATCTCCATATATATCTTTCAAGGAAGAGATGTAACAATCTGAAATACCTCTAGAACACAGGGAAAAAAAAAGAAAAAAAAAAAAAAGGAAGAAATTATCAACAATAAGTTAACTAAATAGATACTACAAAGCCTTTACACTAAAGCTCATGCTTTTGCTTTTTTTTTTTTTTTTTTTGTGGCTGTGCTGTGTGGCTTGCAGGATCTTAGTTCCCTGACCAGAGATTGAACCCGGGGCCCCGGCAGGGAGAGCGCAGAGTCCTAACCACTAGACCACCAGAGAATTCCCTAAAGCTCATGCTTTAATAGGACAGTCTTAAATTGAAATTCCTTCCAATTTTAGACATCATTTTAACTAGTTTTACTTTTTCTATTCCCCAGGCTACAGAAGCAAATTATGAAAAGGAGAGGGAAGGAGAAAGAGAAAGAGAGTGAATGTGAGGATGTGTCTGTGTGAGTGGCCAGCGGGGATGTGCGCGTGTGGTTTTGGGGAAAAGGCCACGGGGGAGCCCGCACATGGCAGCGGCTGCGGGAGCAGTGGGCCTGTGTGAAGACGGGCTCACAGCTCCTGACCAAAGAGGGCACATGTTGGCCAAGGTGGCCCAAGTCATCAAGGGGAGACTCAGGATTTACTGTTTAACATAAGCAACACAAAACACGTTCTTGAAATGTCTTCATTATTCTTACAAGTTTTGATGTTTACCGGGGAAAGACTTTGTAACAATTAACTTATCTGGAATAGTTACTTCCTTACTATGAGAAAAATGAAGCAAGATGATGGCATAACTCCAGAAAATTTTTAGCACTGCTTAATTAACATAATACTCTAAAAACATGACATCCTAAATATCACTGCAGGTTTTGTGACAAGTCAGAATTACAAACATATTCATCTATACCCCATGTTTCAAATATAGTCAAATCTGAATATTAGTTAATAGGTTATAGAATAGGAAAAAACATTTGCTGAGAAACTGATGTGAAAGGATTTCATTAACCCTGTGAAACAATCTAAGCAGATCCACGATTAAGAAGTATAAGCAGATTTCCCTGCAGCCAACTTAACTTGGCTAGCCTCTGGCCTTCCCATGCAGCGCTGCACGCCAGTATCTGAAGCCTGACTCTCTCTACATTTTCCCATTAGCTCCCTGCTCTGCCCTACTTTGATTAATTGCCATGTCCAGTCCTTTACCTTCATTAGCCATTAATTGCCCTCCACCTCAGACACTAATCTTTCATCCCTTGGCAGTAGTTATCTGAATGATTCTGATAATACCTAAACTTAAGTAAGTTTTCAGGGACTTCTATAGAACAAATTAAAATGAACATAACCACAAAGAACTAAAAATGTATATCCTACCTATTACCTGGCCGTTACCCAAGGGCACCTATTCAATTGCTGCCACAGATCTGGTACTTCTCTGGGTACCATGGAAGGTCCAGGGAAGAGGACGACTGCAGTAGTTCCTACTGCTGCTGAACTAAAACAATTTAGTTGGGAGAATCTCAGTACGAGGGCTTACATTTCGGTTGCAGATGCAGGAAAAGTAAACTCTGCCCTGGCTGACAGGGACAGCATATGCAGGGCAGGACCAAGGCAGGTCTAGCTGTGGGCTATGGACACTGGGCTATGAGGGCCTTCACAACCAACGAGGGGGAATACAGACAAAGGGGAACACGGAATAGTATTTTGTTTTTATTATGGTTTAACAGTTTTTAAGGCAAAATACTGAAAACTAGCCTACAACAGAATACCATTTCAATTATTTCCTTGTGTAACATGCTGCCACCTGGTGGCAAGATAAAAATTATAGCATCTGTTAGGTAAGAATTCAAAATAAATTGAAGTGTCTTCGTTTTATTTAAACATCTTGAATAGATGTGAGTCCAGACCTGCTGGCTCGAAGGCGGCCTCGGCACACGCCCACCCTCGGCACCACGGGGCGTCGGAGCACACCACCGGGGGAACAAGAGGAGAAGCAGGGACTCAGGAGCAGCCTCCTCAGCGAATTAAAATATCCCGATTAGACAGAACTAAGCATCAAAAGGTAAGTTAGCAACATATAATGTGTACGGTGAGCCGAAAGAAGAAAATGTATTGAGATAAGACTTCGGTATTATGCAGATAGGAAAGTCCTGCGAAAAGAACATCAGACGAGAAGCAAGA